GTTCCTGTGTGGTTATTGTGTTTTGTGGCTGTTCTGGCTTTGAATCAGCATTGCTGAACTGGGATATTGTCAGGTCTGAGAGGAACTGCAGAGGTTCACAGTCAGGTACTTGGTGTCTCAAAGTGGATGGAGATGCAGTCGTGGCCTTCTGGAGCACCAGCCTCAGCTAGCAGGGTTCCAGCCTGTTTTGTTTCGTGAACTACCTCTTGGCAGCCTTAAACCAGCTACTACATCTATTTTGAGAGCACCTGTTTAAGGGCAGTAAACTGCAAAAGAGGTTCTCTTATCTATGGATAATGTCCCCAGCTGGGGTGGCTGGGCTTCCTGCCAGCTGCCCTTGGAGGCTTCTCACCTGCCAAGGACTGCATGATAAGGGTTTGTATTGAGGCACTTTACCTCTTCCAAGCCTTGAATCACGTCTTCTGGTAGGGAGCAGAGCAATCTCTAAAGGCAACGTTTAATCTTCTCTTGTTTGTTTTCTTAAGATGAAACAATTTATATTTTTGACATCTTTGTCAGCAGCTGTCCACTAAGGAGCTTGTCAGCCTGCCCCAAACAGTGCAGACTCCTTTATCTTCCTAGTGCTTGTGATGAGAAATGAATTATAAGTTGAAAAAAGAGTCTTGGCAGTGCAAAAGCAAAGGGCCTTGACAGGTTTTGAAGTGCGTGAAATAAAAAATAGATTAGGCAAGCCTGTGCTTCCAGCTGCTTTTTGCATCCTTAACTCAAAATAATTACCACTTATTTAGACAGAGTCACTGAAGTGAGGGAGGCTTTTGCTGAATTCATATTGCTACCTGGAGCATGCCAAGACACTTACCTGGGTTTTGTGGTCAGAAGCTGAGGTAAAATACAGGATGGAGGTGCAGGGAAGGTGTTGTCCTGTTAGGCAGGGAGAGAACAAGTGCTTTTCTTTTGGAGTAACTGTTCCTTCTTTCAGGCACCAATGGCCTCATTAGCTGTGGTGTTGCTAATTATCTCCATGTGTGGCTGGGCTCTGCAGGCTGGTGCTGCTGGAGCTCTCTGCTGCTGCCTGAGCCCCGTGGAGCCCCAGCTGACAGTGCTCACCAGCATTTTCAAGGGAGATGCTTTACACCTGGTGACCTCCCAGCAGACTGCTGCTGAAAGGTGTGCTTAGATGTCTCACTGAGAGCTGTGGTGACACTGATCACCTGGTGGGAGCTCGGGGTGGGGAAGGAGCCTGCTGCATGACACAGGTCCCAGGCCAGGCTGACCATCTGCAGCACTGAGAGGGAGGCTGGCAAACTGAAAATGGTGGAGAGAGGCTGGTGTCTGAGTCTGGATACTGAGTGCTGCTCCAAGTACCTGCGATTACAGCCCTGCACCAGCAAGTACCTCCTGAAGAGAGTATTCAGTCCTGCTGTGTTACCTGGCAGGAGATGTCCTCACTGCAGGGCAGGTGTCACCTGAATCAGCATCATAACTAAGCTGGTCCCTCTGGCTATCTGTGAGGACACCTGAATTAGCAGCTCATCCCTTTAATACCCTTTGAGGGCCCTGAGCATTCTCATTGAGTGCAAGGAAAGGCTCATTTTGGTTGTGTCATCCTCTCTGGTTGGTGAACTCAGCTTTTATGAAAATTGCAGATTCGGGGCCTCCAGGTCTGCTCCTTGAGCAAGCACCTCATCTGCAGGGGGCCCTGGAGCACTTACCAGCTTTGGAGATGGATGCACTGTGTGTCCCAGAGCCCCTCACCTATCCATGGCAACAGGAGCTGGCTGTGCTGGGATCATTTCTGCTAAACTACAGCCCATCAAAGTTCATCCAAGAAGCAGTGGCAGGCCTTGATAATTTACATTTTCACACATTTATTCACAACCAGTTCTCCGTGGGGACTTTTCTGTGGCAAAGCAACCAAGTGCATATGGAGGAATAAACATGCATGGCTCAGCTGAACCAGTGTTTTCTGCTTTACCTCCAGATCCTGGAGTTGCCAACTGGCAGGTGGCATCACCAGTGACTGGCACAGAGTTCCTCTGCAAGGGGCTGAATGTCTCATCCCTGTCCTGCTGGGTAGCAGAGCTCAGACTGAAAGCACAGCTTTGAGCAGGGCTGGAAACAGGCTGGGACTGAGCCAGGGGCTCAGCAGGGAAGAGCTGTGTCAGAGGTGCCCTACACACTGAGGGTCTCACCTCATTTTGGGGGTGTGCTGCTGCTATGGAAAAGCTGTGAAGATGCCTCGATGCAGAACCCTTAGGGGGACAGTGCTCAGAGCCAAAGACCAAATGTTCAGCAGCGCTGCTCCCTTTGTAGATATGCACTGGCTCACCAGGCAGCTCCAAGCCTTCATTTAAGTGCTTTGTGCCCGAGTTTTCTTCTTGGCACAGCAGAGGGCTGCTCTGCTTAGACTCTAAGAGTTTAAGCAGGTCTTGCTGGCATTTAAAATAACTTTTCATTTTTGCTGAAAGGTATTTTGGAAGGAAAATTAAAAATTAATACCATCTCTTCCACAGCAGGGAAGGAAACAAAAGGCTGAGCCTGGAGAGTGGTGGTAAATGGAGTTGCTGCCAGCTGGGGCTGGTCACTGGTGGGGTTCACCAGGGCTCAGTATTGGGGCCAGTTCTGTTTAATGTTTTTATGCATTATCTGGATGAGGGGATTGAGGGCATCATCAGTTGAATTCACAGATGACACTGAGTTGGGTGGGAATGTTGATCTGCTGGGGGGTAGGAAGGCTCTGCAAAAGGGCTTGAACAGGCTGGATTTGATGGTCCAAGGACAATCGTGTGAGGTCCAACAAGGCCATGTGCCAGGTTCTGCACCTGGGTCACAGCAACCCCAAACAGGACTCCAGGCTTGGGGAAGAGCAGCTGGAAAGCTGCTGAGTGGAAAAGGCCAGTGGCATCCTGGCTTGCATATGGCATAGAGTGGCCAGCAGGACTGGGTTGTCAAGCACTGAACAGGATCCCCAGGGCAGTGTTGAGTCACCATGGAATTATGTAAAAGAGGTGCAGCTGTGGCACTCAGGGACATGTTTTAGTGGCAGCGCTGGGTTAATGTTTGGACTCAATGACCTCAAAGGTCTTTTCCAACTGAAACAATTATGATTCTTTAAGATACTACACTGAGAAAGGAAAAATTAGTTGTGAGAAGAGAGCAGGTGGTGACCTTTGTGCAGGTTAACATGAAGGTTGTGAGATCCTGCACCTGTGACTGGAATGCAGCTAGGACTGAGTCCAGCATTTGCAGTGTCAGATTGTAATGCTCAGTGCAGTGTGCAATCCCACCTTTCTTCCTGGAATTGATATTATTTGGGGCTTTTGGTGGTTGATCAGAGACACCAATATGTTCCAGTGTCCTCACAGTCTTGGTCCAAAGGGAATAGATCAGTTGAAAAATATCACCAATTTACTTCTTGCAATGTCTTGTAAAATTAGTAAAGAACATGAAAGGTGTATCTATTCCATGTGAATTTGGGTTGTTTTCATATATAAGCATTGCTTATATGTGTTGCTCTGAGACTCACAAAGACAATCAGCAGGAAGGCAAAGTTAACATTGTTAATTTAGAAGGGTGAGGATTTTTATGGTGGTTTTTTTAATATGTCTCATTTCTTTAACTTTTAACTCTTTCAACAACTCATCCACTCTGAATTCCCGTGGGGACAGATAATTGAGAGGACTTGACATATCAGCTAAATCTCATCAGTTTACTTCTACCAGCCCCTTGCAACATGAAGGATGGCAGCCTACCACAAATGAACACCCATGTTTCTCTCTCCTTAAAGGAATGAACCACACTGCCCAATGTGAATGGTACCTGATCCTGTCCCTCAGGCACTGCATGAGGATGATTCCAAGATCTGTGAACAACCCAGATACTCAGACTCTGAAGTGCTTCACGCTCATGTCCAAGAAAACTCTTTATTATGTTTACATAGAGCATGAGCAATGTGGAAAACACTGGAAACTCTGCATCAGTGACTTGGGTTTTGGACAGCATTGGAAATGGCGATGCAGCTGCTCACGTGTCTGTATTACAAGGTGTACAAAGTGCCACGAGGAGCCAAAGCTTTGCACTTCCAATTGGGAAGGGCCCACCTCTGGCACATTCGCTGCTTGCTCCTCTAGTGCCACAGTTAGGTGCTGAGCTGTCAGCTTTTCCTCAATTTCACTTGGAACTTGCAATTGTAGTACCTTGGAACTTGTAATTTTAGTACAAAAGCACACTTTTTGAAACCAATCCTACTAATCCACAAGAACGTTCCCCTTCCCTCTCCTCCCCCCTCCTCCCAATCCCATCCCAACTCATCCCATCCCCCATGCTCCCACCAACACATACCTCCTTCCCCTCCCTCTCACCCCGGTCACACAGCAAATATCCTGATGCTGCAGTTCCAAGCCATGTGTCCGCCCCAGCCTATGTGATCCAATGGTCTCTGACCAGGTCCCTTTGTTCAGACGTTCATACAAAACACACAATAGGAAAAAAACAAAACAAAAGGAGCCAGACACAAGAGGGAGACACACTGCCGGGCTCCAGCTCTGGCCTCTGAGCCCTTCCACTAAGCTCCACAGCACTAGGCTCTTGGGGTACCTCCTTTCACACTCAAGGCTGCAGGTCCCAAGGTTTCCAAGGTGCATAGGAAAAGGAAGAAAGGAAGTAAACTACAAGCCTGTTTCTGTTTTAGGTTCCCCCCAGTCCCTTTCCCTCAACCCAATGGCTGCTGGAGGATATTCTTGACTCCGACAGGTCTTTTCCCGTCTTCCAGTGAGACCCTGCCTGGGGACCAGGTTCACTGTAAGTCACCGGTTCCTCTCTGGAACGTGGGCAATGGGTTTGGCAGCGAGGGGAGGGAGCGGAGCACGTTGTGGGGGGACGACAGGCTTTTGTCTCACAGCAGGTGGGAGGGAAGATGTCAGGGAAGGCGAGAGAAAAGAGCCAAGGGAAGCCGGTCAAGCTGGCCCTCTGCTTGATGTTTGTACTCAAAACTTCTCCTTGGGGTTGCTTCCGTGTGCCAGCGCCGGCCCGTTGTTCAGTCACCTCTCGCAGCCCTGCTGAGAAAAAGCACGTGGCGGGGTGCTTCCGGCTGCTTCATCCTCTGGCTGGCTGCCCTCGTGCCCGCCGGTGATCTCAGAGTCGCAGTCAAGCGCCTCATAGATGGTCGGCAGCGTGGTCTGCTGGCTGAGGCGCTTGCGCAGGCCCACGAGCAGCGGCTGCGGCATGGAGGACACGTCCACGTTGTTGCCGAGGTCAACCCAGGCCAGGCAAGGGAACTTGTTCATGTCCTTCATGGTGTCAGTCAGCTCCTTCATGGTCGCCCGCGTCAGCCGGTTGCCGTTGAGGGACAGGTGAGTGAGTTTGGGGAGCGCCCAGAGGAAGGGCAGCAGCAGGCGCACCATGTCATCGTTCAGCTCCGTGAAGCTCAGGTCCACCGAGGTGAGGTGGTCCCCGTTGTTCTGCAGGTAGTAGGCCATGCGGTGGACATCCCGCATGGTCAGGGGGATCCCTGACAAATCCATGGAGTCCTGGCTCACCTTCTTCTGCAGGCTGGTCTTCAGGCTGATGGTGGAGAGGGGGAGACAGAGAGATCATGAAGGGGAGGCACTCCCATCCATCTCCCCCAAGTGAGAGAGCACTTGGGACAGGGAGAACTCATTAACAACATGGGCTAGAATGTTAAGGAAGGGGTTAATAGAACTCACTGGGAAAACAAGCATTTGAACCTCAGGGCAGACTGTCCTGTGGCTTTGCTGTGTATTCTCAGCACTTACACGTGAACTTTGCCAGAACTGGCTCAACACAGGTTGCTAAAGTGTCTCCCACTAGCAGATGTCAAAGGCTTTGTCTGTATGTGCCCATGCAGGCACTCATGCATAGAAAGCAAAAATAACCAAGGCAAGCAAACTTTCCAAGAGCACTGGTTTACACTGTGTGGGGGCTGTTTGTGAGCTGCCTCTCCAGGTGAATGATAAGGTCTGTGCTACAGAGGAGAGCCGTGTTAAATGTCTGGGAAACGGATGTTTCATCAGGAAAACACTAGATAGGCAAACTGCACTCCAGGAATGGATTTACTGTGTGTCCCTTTAAAATCTTTCACAAGCAGCACTTAGTCAGTAAGCAGCACCAGTGGCTGCCTGTTTGGGTCTCTGTGGTCAGCAGATCATCTGGGATCTGCTGCAGCTATGAGGAGAGGGGGAGGGCATAAGGGTGCTAAGAGATGGCTTCAGCCATTTCTTTTACTGTCTGCCTGGCCAGGGGAGCGAGGCGGAGGTAGGAAGGCTGTGTTGTGAGGCTGCTGGGTGTGCAAAGGGAGTGGGGCGTGGAGCTTAATGATGGACTGTGGGTTTGTAAGAGTGCTGTGAGAAGTGGGAACTGTGGGGCTACAGGAGCTGCTGGGGAATACATTGCAAAATTGAGTAGAAATGTGTGTTAGTGTAACATAGGAGAACCTAGTCCACAAGTGTAAATTGTGTTACTCTTGCTGCTCTTTCAGACACATCTTGCCTTAAGGACATGGGACCCATAGTAGGACCCCCCAGTCATGGGGGTCTTGTAAGTGCCTTATTGAGTTTGGGAGGATCAGGGTGGGTTAAGCGTTAACCACCACTTCGAAGGTCCCCACTCTTCCTATCTGGCTCTCTGTAGTGTCCTGCACACCTGTGGCACAGCCAGTCCCTGAAAGCAATGGGTACATGGGGACATGCAATCTCCTCGGAGGAGGCTACAGCACCGCAGGAGCTCCCGTGGCAGGTGAGAATGTCCCTACAAGCCTCAGTATTGCCAGGCTCTGCTGGAGCTGTGCAGAGGTTGTGGCACTGCCACAACCTGTAGCTTTGCTTTACATATGCAGTTCATGGCATCCTAGAAATTTCAGCTCTTAATAATCCCCTATAAGCATGTGTTGACACAAGGGAGTAAATGTGCACCAGTGCAGGCAGCAACCCTTTGTTGATTCAACACTGGCACAAACTTGCAGCCACACTTCCTTGTAGGAGCATGAGGCAGAAAGACCTCGTGGCCTGTCCTGTCAATTCTTAAGCCCACAAATTCCTGCTCTGGGTTTAGCAGTACTTTGCTCAGGCTACTCCTATGTGTCCTTGTATTTCCCATGGGAGTTCACTGTGCAAGGCTGAAACTGTATCTGCAAGCATGCATTTGGACTAATGAGCTCTCATGGCAGAGAGCTAATAACAGCATGAATTAACTTCTATTCAGACCTAAAGCATTTTAAGTGAAATGTATTACCTACTAAATATTTACATGTCAAATGACCCACACTACACCTCAGTGGATCACAGTGGGGTCAAAGGGAGCAGTGCTTGTCCGTACTGTCAAACAGCAGGGACAGATGTACTGGGGAATTATAATTGGTCTGAGGACACGAGGGAGGTTGTCAGAGGGCCTTGAAGGTGGTACTTGATATGCCTCCAGAAGAGACTGGACTGAGAAGAATTAATCCACCACATTGCTTGCAGCAGCAGTGCAGTTCTTTTACCTCCTGCAGCAGCAGTTGTGAACTGTGCATGCTGTGGTTTGGGTGGCACTGAGCAAGTCTCCCTTTTCCTGCTAATCCAAGGGATGCTTGAGATTACCCCAGGCTGCCTGGGAGCTGTATTTCTTCAACTCTCTTGAAAAACAATGTGTGTGTTTTGGTATAGTTTGTCAGCAATCACTGGCAGTGGTGTAGCACAGTCTACCACAAAAGAGGGTTCATCTTGTATGAAATTTATCAGAGATTAGTCTTGAAGCTGGAAACTTCTCAGGTTTCCCCTAGCACAAAAGGAGTTATCCTTTTAGCCATGCTAGGTATTTTATCTGGGTGTTTGATCTGGAGTAGTTGTTCTAGCAGAACAGAGCATCCAATGCACAGTGCAGGTGTGCATTCATATGGCTCAGGTGGAACAGGGAGAAATGAAATGGAGTGTGAGCCTGAGTGCATGGGGCAACTGTTCCATGTATCCACAAGGGGCTGCTACAAGAGACACAGCAGCCTTTTCTGGCCTGTAAGGGTTTAAAATAAGGCTTTCTTGGGAGTGTGGGGAATACAGGAATAAACAAGCATAGAAAGAAGCCTGTAACTACTTCAGTGCCCAGTTTGTATGAATGCAGCCTGTGGCTCCTGGAAATCCTCTTCCCCAGTGCTGTCAAGCAGATGACCCCACGTGGGTGGGTGGGGGACACAGAAAGGAGACATGAGCACAGGGGCACCTCCCCCAGCCCTAAGCCTTGTCTTGGTCTGTGCAAAGCCTCCTCAGATCTTCCTTTTTATAAATCTCCAGGGCTGGAGCCTAGTTTGGAGTGGGGATGGGAACCAGGCTGGAGTGGGGACCACTGGAGGGCACGTCTGAGCCGGCACCGCTCCCGCTGCCTGCCCTCAGCATTCAGGTGCTGATTTTCCTGTCACGGCTGCAGCAGCAGCTTCCTTAACAGGGGGCAAGTTTGAAAGGCTCTGGGGGTCCCCTTGGAGTGACTTGGCTGTGAGTGCAAACAGTGATGACTGAAGGGAAATGTCTGAAAGACAGAAGCAATGTGCTCATCTGTGTCTGTCTGTTAAGCCTCCCCTCCTGTGACTGCCGTGTGGAGACTGCAGTAATAAGTCACAGATCGTGCTCTCACCAGAACAGGTACCTTCTGCTGCTCTCCCCAGCAACCAGCCAATACCCCAAGGAGGCTTTAATCAAGCAGACAAATTATCTTCCCATAATTGATTCTCCAGACTAGACTGCTCCTGGCTGAATGTGCTTAAACCCTCCTGTCCTGTGCCAGAGCCCGCCCTCCCTTCTTTGCTGGCTTGTTTTTCTTTCCTTTCCTGTATTTTTTGCTGCTTCCTTTTGCCCTCATTGCTGTACCTGCCAGAGTGACTCTGGGCCTCCTGTCTCAGAACTGGGGGCTCCCTCCTGTGTTTAAGCTGTTCTCTTGCCTATAAAAATGCCTCTTGTAGGGATGTGTCTGTAGGAGCCTCATCCTGGGGGACACAGCCCTATGCTGCAGCCAGGCCCTCAGCTCTCTGGTAAGTGCTGAAGCATGAGATACAACACTCCACGCATGCTGTGAACCCTGGCAGCCTCCTCCTCGCCTCCTTGGTGTTTTTGGGCAGCTCCAAGAGGCACAGCTAAACCCCATCTCTAGGGCAAGGCACAGAATAGCTGCCCACTCTCTCTATTGCTTTAGAGGTAAATGTGTCTGCAGTCACAAATGGGTCAAGGAGATGTGGGTAGATGCTTTACTCTGAATTATCTGACACTTGGTATTTTTTGGAGCTCTGTTAAGCTCTATTGCTTGGCAGGAAGAGGGGCATGATACACAGGGCACCAAGCTCTCAGTCACTTGTGCAGCAAGCAGCTGAGAAAATACTAGGTTTATTTCTAGGGAAATGGGTCATCTATTATCCCCTAATTTCTGCACTTGAAACAAGCTTTAAGATTGCTTCAGCTGCAAAAGGCTTTTTTTTCCTTTGTATGAGATACAACAGCTACTTAGCAATGTGGCTCTTGATGCTCGTGGGCCTTGTGGACAGAGAGAGGCTGCAGAGCACTGGGGGCTGCATTAACCTACTGCTTCTGCAACTGCTGCTCAGGGCACATTTGTAATTGTGAGCATTTGCATGTAACAAGGATCTGGACCCTGGATGCAGGGCAGCAGACTGTATTTGTATTATCTGCAGCAAGCTTGGAGAGGAAACAACCCCCCACTCCCTCAGATGCTGGAGAAATGGCTGCAAGTGAGAAATTCCTGGAAAGTTTGAGCAAGAAACAAGGGCAATCAGCAGCCCATCCCCTACTGCTTGCCTGGGGATGCAGCATCCACTGAGGAATGGTGCTGGCCCAGAGTCCTGTTTGTGAGGGATCAGCACCCTGCTTGCAGCCCTTGTCCAGCCCTGCTGAGGGACGGGAGCTTTTTGAGGTACATCTTGATTCTCATGTGAAAGGTTTTACTTTGCATTGTTCCCAACTCCCTTCTTGGGGTCTGGCTTTTCTCCCATGGACATGGAGTCTTCCTGCCACCCTCACTGCCACTTATCCCTTCCCTGGGTGCCAGCTCTACTCTTCAGCAGGCATTACCAGCAGTCCCTAGGCTGCACTTTGAACCTGGCTATGGGAGATCCACCCTGGATCAGTCCAGGCAGAGCAGGGGCCTGAGGGACCTGTGGGTGTCTGGAAAAAAAACCCTCTCAGTGAAAAATGTGGGCTGGGAAAGAGGTGAAACCATCTTGTTCCTCCCCAGGTTTTTTTGGGGGATAAAAATCTTCCTCTTTCCACTAACACTCAGCCAGTGCTCCTGCCTCCTGGGAACTCAGCTAGCATAAGCAAATAGAGATCTGTGTTGAAATGGGACAATTAGGAGACCTGAAATGAATTGCTAGTTGTTTGTCTCCAGGACCTGTCCCAAGGGAAGTAACCCTTAGGCCATCTTCCAGGTCCTTCTTTGTGTCCATGAAGTTGCAGGCTCAGCACGTTTGGGTTTTTTCATTAGCACCAAATCCCATCAATTTCTTGCTCATCAGCGAAATTCTTTGGTGGCTGCAGGGAAGGGGTGTAATGGCTCCTGAGTGCTGCCCT